TTCGTGAAGAAACATGATTGGACAATAAAGAGTACGTTCTGATTGTCATGAACAGGGGAGACTCCAGTAAGGTGGTAATAATAGCTTATTAAGATATTTATTAAATAGAAAAAAATCTTGATTTTTGATTAGATTTATAATGAGCTAAATTGTCTCTAGTTTTGCTTGAAATGATAGGATTTTCAGGTCAAGCTTTTGGGGACATGGTCTGGTTTATCATTTTCCTTCTAATTTCTTATATAAGAACACTTAGAGTGGACAGAAAGGCCCAGAGAAAATGCTTGTAGTGAGGTTTGTGAATAAACTCTTCTGCTCAGTCAGGCAGGGGATTTGTCCTGCTGCTGAACTTGGCCTCTGCAGCGAGTGGGGTGCTTTCTAGGTTTACTGACTCTAGTCTCTTTCTGTCCATAGTTTTTGGTAAAAGTGTTCAGTAAATGGCTTTTTAAAAAAATTGATGATACTCCACCTATCTAATGGGGATATTGTGAGTATTAAATGAGGTATGAAGACCTGTCATATATTAAGAAATAACAAGTCAACTTTTCTACTGAATTTCTTTCTTTCTTTTTTTTCTTTTTTTTTTTTTTTTGGAGAGGTTTTTGCTATAGGGTGCGTGCTCTTGCCAGAAAGACAGAGAGAGATAGAGAGATGAAAAGCAAGAAATCACCCCCCATGGGGGATGGCCATGTCACAATCCCTTCTCCATTCTCCTCTCGGGATCCTGGGCATGCACGCACATGTGCCTGGCGTGGGTTCAAGTTACCGGGTCCAGGACTTGAACTGTGGTAGATTACGTGGGAGTCCAGCGACATAGCCACTATGCTAACTACTGGTCCCTCTACTGAATTTCCTATGCACGGGTCTAGTTAATATTACTCTTAGGGGAATTTTATTGTTCTATAGGGAATGCTATTGCTTGCTGTTTAAGGTTTTTTTTTTTACAGGGAGCATTTATTTCTCTGCAGAGTTTAAGATGATCAGTGGAGAACTTTTGGTCCAACCTGTTTAACACTCGTGAACTCATCAACTGCTATCATTCAGTTCTTCAATTGCAGAAGAAATAGGGGGTGAAGATTGTATATTTGTACCTGATAATTGACACAGTCATTTCAACCTTGAGAGTCATGTTTATTATAAAAATCAATTACAAAAATATCAATACTAGCATGTATTGGCACCTAGATTTTATTTATACTTTGTCTCCACAAGCACATTAAAAGGCTGCCTGACTTTTTGATGTGGCTTGTGAATATTGAATACTGAAAAGCCATGGGTGTTCTTCCAATTTTAGAAACTCATTTTGGAGATAGATCAGAGAATAATTTCAAGTGTATAATTTCCTCAAGTGAAATGAGACATCCTGTCATGCCTTCAAATAGAGTCCAGGAAATGTAGAGATTAGTGATTTTTCTCTGATAAAGATAGTGTTATTATTTACAGCTAATAGTTGACCAGAATCTTAATACCATAGCAAGTAAAGTGGGTTACTAACATGTCTTATTCATACCTTTGAATTATTTGTGGCTATTAATGGAGAGCTAACATAGCTTTATTTTGGAAGAAGACATACTAGAGTAAAATGTACTCAGACATACTAGAGTAAAATGTACTTCATTTTATTTGAAAATAAGCAAATAAGTGCAATTCTGTTCTTTCCTATCTAAACAAAATTCTGTGAAATGGAATACAGTTTTGAATTTTAATATTTCCATTTTCTCTTTTTTTACTCACTCAACAAAAATAGTGTAATTGATTATAAAGAAATGCATCTATATCTTCCTCTCTAGACATAGCGTCTTACTAGTCAACAAAAGTGTCCAACTGTACACTGAAAAATGTAAACCATTGGCAAAATTATTTGACTCACTCACAATAATCTTAGGGTTATGTTCAGGCCAAATTATTTCAGTAAGAATGATGTAGAATGGACAACAAACCCTGGAGTTCTTTCTATGAAGAATTTGGAAAGTTCTGAGGAGGACTACTATATTATACAGACAAATACAGAACTATAGTGTCTTCTCAAGTAGAGGCCTATTCTTTTGTACATATTCATGTGAATGATGCACTGAGTATTCATAAAGATACTTGATAGTGTACATGTTTCTACAATGCCTTCTGAGGCATTGTGTGTGCTGTAGAGAAACTTATGTTTTTATTTCTAGACTAGAGCTACACCTTTTATTATCCTTGTTAAATAAAATATGTAATACAGCATAAAGATAATGAATTGACAATGTAGTATAAATAGAGGGGCCAGTAGATGGTATGGTAGTTAAGGTGCTAGACTTCCACAGTTCGAACTCTAGCATCTTAACTACTGTGGCTGACCACAGTTCGAGGCCTAGACCTGTCAGGTTGAAGATTGGGCATGTATGTGTGCACCCAAAATTCCAGGAGGACAATGGAAGAGAAGGGACTGCGCCATGACCATCGCCCCTGAGAGATGATTTCTCACTTTCCATCTTACTCTCTCTCTCTCTCACTCTGTCTCTATCTGGCCATTACATGTGCCCTATGACAAAACTTGTAAAATAAAAAAAGAATATAAATAGAGGTGGGAAGTCAAAGTTAAGACGAAGAGGAAGCAAACGTGCTCAGCATAAAGGCAAACAGGGTTGCTGTAGTTGGGTTTCCTATTTGTCTCTGAGCTTTCTGACAGCCAACATGAAAATGACTTGATTATCTACCTAATTCTAATGTTCAGAAAGCAAGTAGTCCAATTCAAAAGAAGTAAAATTCTAAAGTATTCTTTTCAAGTGAGATTTTTATATTTCCTAACCATTACCTAAAAGAAAAAAAAATTCAATATTCTTTTCCACTAATTTTATAATGCACGTTCTCATGGTGTTCTTCAAAATATGTCATTAAAATCACCTCAGAATATGTAATATATGAGCTAATATATTGCACGTTGACACATTTTGGTGGCCTGCTCTGATATCTGGCTCTAAAGTACCTAGAGATATCAATAAATTTCATTTATTTTAAGTAGTCTGTAAGTAGCACCTCTTCTGAGAGGTTTTCAGTAGAGAAGCATGACATATAATGTAATAAATTCTGATAACAAACTTAAGCACTAAAATTCTGTCTTTTTTGAGAGGTTATCTGTGTGTTTTTAGGCCAAATAAAGGGGCAGGACTGACATGTTGCTATAAAAATTTTGGAATCTCAGTAGGACCTGTGCTTTAAATAAACCACACTTGCCCCTTCAACATGAAGATAATCTTCCTGCTCAGTGGTCTGGAAGAAAGCCAAGCCCCAACCAAATGGCACACCAGCTCTCCTCTGGGGAACCCAAAAAGCTTTTTTTCCCCACTGGGATCCATAGTTACGGTCATAAAATGCTTCCCTAGATTTTTGCTTTAATTTATAATCAAATTCCTTTTGGCAGAGTGAGTTATTTTCTTGCTGTGTGCTGACTAGAGACAAAGCAGGTAGCCGAGGCATTGGTCACCTGAGATGGTGGCTTATGACACTCATTAGACACGCTCTACCTCCTTTTCTTTATTCTTTCCTTTCTCCATTTTTTCTTTTCATGACATTTTCTTCTAGTTTTTCCTCCTCTCTCCTTTCAGAATACACTTCTATTTTTCCATAGGCAGTCCTTAGACTTTATGTTTAAAACTAAACACAGACAACACAAAACCTTGCTAAACTTGTCCTTTTTTGCCAGAGGACTCATGCACTCACTGGAGAGAGACAGCAAGAGAGAGAAAGAAAGAGAGCAAGGAAGAGAAAGAGAGAGAGAGAGATTGAGAAAGCACCTCCATGGGTCACAGTCACACTCCAATCCCTTCTCCATTTCTCCCCCATTTGGGGATTTTGGTCATGCACCCACATATACCAAGAGTGTTTCTTAAGTCAAGCCACCAGGTCTGGGGCTTGAACCATGAAGTTGATCATGTGGGATCCTGCTGCCTTAACCACCACATGATGGACTGGCCCATTAGTCTTTATTTTAAATCAGATGTCTCTAACCCAGAGAGCAGCTGAAGATACTTTTCACAGGGCCAGCCACAATGGTGTACCAATTGTGCAGGACTCCATGATGCTGAACCCATGTGGAAAAGTCCCAGGTTCACATCCGGAGGTCTCTCTCTATATGCCAGGTGCATCTATACTTGACCGTGATTCTAGCTGACTGGGGCTGTGGTTGGATTGTGGTGGGAAGACTCTTTCAGAGATTCTTCACTGTCTGCATGTCTGTCTTTCTCTTAGAAGAAACAAATGAACTTAAAAAAAAAAAAAAAGACATCTTTTAGACCTTTAAGAAAGAATGTGAGTCATGACAAGACTTAATTCCACAAGTGCATTTCTGCTGTAGGCAGTTGGCAGAAGGGTGTGTGTGTGTGTGCACAGAAGAGAGTAAAGGTTGACTTCCACCCACTGGCATATTTCAGTAGCAGACCAGGGGGAAATACTCCTGATCTTTAGGGAACAGTTTCTGATCAAATGAGCTATATAATTCAACAGAGAACACAAAGAAGAATAATAAAACATTGTTTTGGAAATTTTCAGTTAGCAATCTATGGCCTGTGGGCTAAATCTGGCCCACCACCTCTTTTCATGGATGACTTGTCATTGAATACAGCACATCCATGCATCTACATATTGTGTATGGCTGCTTTTGAGTTACTGTAGCAGAGATGAGCAGTTGCATTAGGGACCATGTGGCTGGCAAAGCCTACAGTTTTACTTCTGGCCTTTTCCAAAAAATGGCTTGCCAACTCCTGCTCAAAATGCTAGGTTTTATACCAGTGGGTCTTAATTTCTAGCTGTTGGGAAAATAAAAGGAGTAGGCTCATGGTAATTCTCTGGGCAGGCTTTTCAAAAGGTATACAACTCCCTGTTACTGCATCTTTTCATAGCCTCTCTCTCTCTAAGTGTTATGACCAGAGTTGGTTCCATTAATTGATACAGATTGCTGGTTTTCATTAACTATTTTTGACCTCCATAAAATATCCAAAGTAACATTGAACATTTTATTTCTTTTACAGGGTTGTGGGAAGAAAATGTATTCCTTTTTGAGAGGAACCAAACAATTACAGGTGCTAAGGTTTCTGGGAATCTCCATTGGAGTGACACAAATTCTGGCCATGATTCTCACAATCACTCTGCTCTGGGCTCTGTATTATGATAGGAGAGAGCCTGGGACAGACCAAATAATGTCCCTGAAGAATGACACCTCTCAGAACCTGTCATGTCACTCAGTAGAACTGTTGAAGCCAAGCCTGTCAAGGATCTTTGAACACACATCCATGGCAAACAGCTTTAACACACACTTCGAGATGGAGGAATTGTAAAGAATGTCAAAGATGACCACAAACTTGTTTTATTGGACTTGTGAATTCTTGAGTACACACTTATCAGTTTCAGAAATTTAAAGAAATAAAAATGTTGCCACAAAAAGTTACCTAGGCAAATAATTGTCTGCCCTTTAAAATGAAGAGTTTTGTATCCTAAGTTACCACTTGGACAATAATGGATATTCTTTACAAGACTGAGGGCAGATCTAATAGCCACTTTATGGCCTGTGTAAGATTTTTATTGAACATCATTATGTTTTGAGGTGGCGTGGCTTGATCAGAATTTCTGCATCCATGTAAAAAAGCCACATACGGTGGGATTAGAGCTACAATCAAGAACGGTGTACTCCTACCAGCTAGTATATAAAGTACCAATTAATTACTAACGTAGGAAGTTAGTACTAACGACTTTTATTCAGTGCTATATTCTTTTGAGGCTGAATAGATTATACATACGAAAACTTTCAGGATTGGCAACTACCTAAATGTGATTTTTACTGGTTACTAAAATATTTTTACCGCTTACAAGAACAAACTAATACATTGTCTTTTGCAGATCAGGGATCTATGTATATATAAGTCTGTGTTCAGTCTGTATAATTCAGTAGGTTTCAGTCCCTATAATTTTAAGAATAGCAATTGTGAAAAGGATAAATTCGTCCTGTATAGCAGCACTATTTTTAGACTTTCCTGTTAATAGAGCTTTAAAATTCTGTCTTGGATTTATGTTACATACTTAATTGTTAATTTAAATACTTAACCACTAATTTTGAAAATTACCAGTGTGATACATAGGAATCATTATAATTCAGAATGTGTCTGGTTTCCTAGAGAGGAAGTATTAACAAGAAAATTCACACATACTTAGTTGATTCAGCAAAGTGGTAGATGCTGTTTTTCTCCTAAACTAAGACTTTTTGACACTACACACTTTTTAAAGAACTTATCTTTGCCTTCTCCAGGTAAGAAGCAATAGTCCCTAGGTCAAGATCATTCTACAGAGAAAACTATTTTTCTCCAGAAAATGTTTGTAAGAATCATTAAAATAAATGAAAATTTAACTAGAGATTATCTTTACTTTATTTCACTGACTAATATACTTTGGTGAATTACACAGATTATTAAATTTTTTACAAGAGTAAAATATATTTATTTGAAATGGGAAAAGTGCATTTTACTGTATTTTGTGTATTATGTTTATTTCTCAGAATATGGAAAGAATATAAAACAAGAGTCAATAAATGTTTTCTAGAGAGTAATAATTTGTCTGACTATTTTTGATAGAAGTACTTTTACCAGTTGAGGAGATTTGTAAAGGGAGAAACGTATGAGAAGGAATGGTTGGATAAAGTATTAATAATGATTTTCAAACTCTGGAACAATTCTGTACAAGCATGTATCTTCACTAAGAAGGCTCCCCCAAAAAATGCCTGTTCATATTTCAAGTTTGCTTTTTAGCTAAATGAAAAATAATATCGTTGTTTGATATAATATAAAAATATGGCCATTTATGTTATGTTCTCAGTATCTTCATATCCCATTTTTATGGTTTTTACTAATGTTTAAAAGAAAATGAATGTAAGGAATACAATATTTGAAATTATACAATTTATAATCTTTCATAGATTTAAGTGAAAATTAAGGAAATTACTTTGCTCATTGAGAGCCAAAAGCATTCTTCTTTATAATTCTCTCAACACCTCAACTCCCCATAATTTCATCTAAGGTCCCAAGTAACTGAGATAGCTATTAGTTTTCTTTGAATTATTTAGGTAATGGTCAAATTCACTGCTTCTCTTTTGCTGCCTCTCTCAGTCACCGAAAGAATGAGCATATATTATGCTGAGCTCTGTTTTAAAAAAATGTCCTCAAATATAAAATAAAAGTTGATTTCTACACTTTTAGAGTTCAGAGATTTTGATATATTACCTGATTTACTACCGTCTAGAATAGTCAACATAAATTCAGACAATCATTTTACATATAATAACTTGCTTAATGGGAACAAATGACATTTATAACAGTGGTCCACAATGGCCTCTTATGGTAGCAGTGCACCTGGAATAATAAAACTACAAGAGACTTTAAAAAGTGTATTTAATGTGGTAGAGCTGAGGGAGTTCACTGTTTGGGTACATTGCAAACAAAATTGTTAACTGTTTCCTTGGGAATTTTTAAAAGCTTACTTTGGTGAAAATCACCATTTGTTAAGTAAAAAGTTAAGATTATTTTTAGACTGGTTAACAGTTAATTTAAAGTGCCCTGGAGATGCAGAAATGGCAGTAAGAGATGATGTTTTTCCTTAAGCACTGTAAAATCAGGGTTAGAGACACTCGTGCTAGCCACAGAAAAAATAAATAAAAGAGTATGCAGTGACTAGAGCCATGCTTAGGAATAAGAGACAGAGAGTGACATGGAGGCAGCTACAGTGAAAAGATGGCTTTTGACCTGGGTCAGGAAGGGGGAGAACATTCTAGAACCAGGATTCTGAAATTTAAAAGGGAACAGTAGTTGGGCACCATAGCCTGTGGTTCTAAGAGCATAGAATACTTGAGAAAAATACCATGGGAAAGCACATGGTCGAAATTTGGGTTCAGGGATTCATTCTGCAGGTTCAGGGGAGAATTTTCAGAAAGAGAAATGATGCAAGGTTCAGAAATTTACCTGGGTGAGTCAAATGGGAAACTGGAGGCAGGGAGATGGAATATCCACAACTCCTGGGGAGGGACCATCATCTACCACAGGCCAGGTAAATAGAGCACTCCAAAGCTGTACCATGCTGCAGACCCTGGTGGGAGGCAGGATCGATTGCTATTGCTGTAGTCCAGGTGAGAGAGAAAGATCCTCACTAGGACAATGGAAGTCAAAAAACCAGGGTGTATAAAATGGTATATAACAGGATGAATCCACAAAAATTGGCAGCAGATTGACCTTGGGGAGTGTGAGATAAGACGTAAAAAACCTGAAATGTCTGGATTTTGTACCTGGTAAATCGGTATTGGCATTAACCTAGGTGGAGGGCTGGGAGCGTGAGTGTGTGGGAGGGTAATTAATTTGGTTTGGGACACATCAAGTTGGAGATGCCTGCAGGACATGCAGATGGAGATGTCTACAGGCAGCTGTAAATTCCAGTCTGGAGCTCAGGAGAATTCACTGTGGAGCCTGAGAATTTTTATGCATTGCTTTCCCATCTCAGGAAACCTGACAGAAAATGGGCTGAGAACCAAATCTTATATGAGGAGAATCTTAAACAGGATGCTACAAGAACTTCCTTTTATCTGAACTCCCACCCCTGTGGATGAGTCACAGGAGGTAAAGAAAAGAAATTAATTGAAACAGGAGCCACCCCTTTAAAAAAATACTGCCAAGTGCTACACTGCTTCACCTTATCGCTTTTCCTATTATCATCTTGCCATTTACAAGTGGATCTGTCTTTCCTATGAACTGAGCTCTTATTTCTTCACATCCAAGCACGTTCTACAGATGTGTATGGGAGAATCTTTGATATTGTCTTGAAAGCTCATGTGTTTTCTTTTTAGTATGCTAATTGCAATTGTTCTTCATTTGTCGTATTCATAGGTGACTGCTCCGTGCCTACTAAGTGCCAGGCAGACAGATGGGAGATGTGTCACACATATTTTCCCTAGTCTTCCCAACCCTCTTGCAATGTGTAGACTTCATCTGCCACATTATTTCAAGTGAAGAAGACAAATTCAGACTGAGTACATTGACTTAGTACACGGGCAGCACTCTGCTGCCTTCCTTGCCATTTTTGTAACACGGCATCTCCATCAGACTGTAGCTAAGTCAGCTAATTGTTTACATAGACAAGCCAGATTCTTCTACATGTGAGTCAGTATCTGCAGGCTCCATTGGCCTCCAAATCATATGTCTTCTTCCTTTGAAATAATGCTTTTGCAATTTTATTTTTATCACTGTTTTCTCAGAATGTGCTATCTAAAGCTTTGACTGAAACCATAAATTGTTCTCTTCTCGTCACTTATTGTCTCTTCTCATGAGCTATCTGTGCATACATGAAGCCAAATTAAATAATTTACTTAACTCTATTGAGGTATAATATAATACATATATACATATATATATATATACACACACATAATACACACACACACATATATATATATATATATGGACTGTAAAAGATTCATGGAAAATAAAATTGAAATAGGAATTTTACTTGGTGCAAAAAGTTGAAATCCATGCATATTTTTTCATAATACCCATTTTACATGAACTTTTTGAAGACTCCTGTACTATATACATACATGTATATACATATACAAATTATATACACACACAAACACATATATATATATATATAGAGAGAGAGAGAGAGAGAGATAAATGAACCCATTTCAAGTGCACACTTAATTTTGACAAATACATATACAACCACAACTGCCATGAAAACACACAACATTTCATCCCCTCAGAAAGTTTCCTCTTGCCTCTTTGTTGTAAGCCCTGGAATCCGCACTCCTAGCCCAAGACAACACTGATCTGCTAAATGTCACTTAAATTAGTTATTGTAAAACATGATTTTCATCCTGTCTCTTTCTTACTTAAAACTACTCAGGGAGGTCCCTGCTTTAAGTAAGGCAGAACTTCCCATTCATTAGTGTGCATGTCATTTATAAGGCAATGTTGGGACAGATGAAGGTCAAAGGCCACCGTCCATCTAAGGCCTTGCCTCTCTGCTGTGAAAACACAAGGGAAGTGGTCAGTCAACACCCAGTTCTGGCTGCTTTCTTCGAGACTGTGCAATATGGAGGCTTAAACAAAATAGAAGTGAATTCATATTTTAAAAACACATGTGTGAGTAACCCAAAGTACAGCTAGGGACCCACTGGGCTCCTGCTACTCTGTTGTGCTGAGGTGTTTCCCCTGGTTTTGTGGTACCAAAGAGCACACTGTGCTTCCATTTCAGGCAGCAGGCTAGACAAAGGAGAACCTTAAAGGGAAGGGCAATGTAACCGGAAGCACACATCCCTTCCGTTGACCCTTCATGGCTATAAGGGAGTTTTGCCAGTTGTCCTTTTCTGGACACACACATCCAATTAAACCAGAAAGTTTTAAGACCAAAAATGAAGAAAGAAGGGAAAACAGATATCAGTGTTGACTAGCAGCTCGCTACCATACTCTCCAGTACTTACAGAATGAAATCTTCCACTTGAACCTATTTTCCAGATCTAGTTCCTAATGCTTCCCAAGATGCCACTCTGCAGCTGCCAGCTGGGCCAATCATGGTCCACTCATTGCCTGTAACATCCCACATATCCTGTGCCTCCTCAGTTGTGCTTCTGCTTGCATCAGGGTGCTTCTCTGGCATAGCCTCATTTCCACGGCTTTAACTTGTAGCCACTCTTTGAGGATTGACTCAGCTAAGGTCTCTCACCAGCCCACATCTATCCTTCCTCCTCTAAGCACAAATTTATTTGTTCTCATAATATTTAGTTTCGGTCTTATATTTTTTATTTTATAATATTGCTTTTTATTTATTTACTTTTTTGCTTGTAGGTCTGACTCTCTTGAGAGCAAATATTATGACTCTCCACTCAGGATTTTGCATAGGCCTAGGACGTATGTATGTCTTCTGTATCACTCGCATATCTATTCATTGTGTGTGTACATTCATATATGCATGAATAATGGGTCGGTTAAATGAATCAAAAACTACTGTCTAAAATAATTCTCATGAGAAGGAGTTTCTATAATGGCAACCATCTGTTCTTGACTGGGACAGAGGACACTGGGTTATCATGGGCTAAGTACTCATTTAGTTATAAATGGATGTAAATTGGAACTTCAATATGCATTTAGAGCTCAGTCAAGTCTTATAAATGTCTGACTGAGCTATCATGTTGTACTTGCAGTCTAATAATAAAAGTGTCTTAGATTTATAAAATGCTTTTACACCTCACCCCAAATCCTTTAACATTTAAATATATCTTTCTTTGACCAGTGTAAAAGTAGAGTTCAGTATCTCTAAGAAATCCTTAGAGAATGGAGATTGGATCAGATCACCATTAACTTTGCAATTTCTCTTCAATCCTAGAAATAAATTTAAAAAAAAAATCATGTGGTGGCATTTACATTTTTTGTGCAAAATGTTTTGTAATAAAGGTGGACCTTTGGATTTTAAGAAATATACTGTCAGGACCAGCAGATGGTGTAATGGTTACTTCGCTGAACTCCCACAGTCAATGATGTTTGGAGTCTCAGACCCAGCAGTTTAAAA